AAGATTGGCTATGAAACACCAAAAATATTGACAATAAACAGCATTTTGGATAATCACAGATTGCAAACCCTCTTAAATGCCTTTGACTCTAACTGATACACTGAAATTTAGATGAAGGGTAGCTGGTGCCTTTTTCCTTTTTTGGTCAATTGATGTGAATGAATAAAGATGGTTTTAAAGAAGCTCTATGACTTAGATTACGGTCAACTAACTGGAAGAATTCACTTTACAGAAAAATAAAATAAAACTCTCCAAACTCAAGAGAAGAGCTCACACATATTTGGTTGAGGCAGCTACACTTTCATCCTTCCAACGTCTGCTGGTAGCCGAGGGATGGCTCATCTTTCTCCAATTGTACCAAACAGAGTGGCTTTTAATTGTGCACAAATGAGATCTCCCAACTCCTGCAAGAAAAGGCAATGTTTGCAAGACAGCAAACCACAGAGAGGAGGGGAAAACATTGAAACAGCAGTCATTTTTATTTTGGCTTAACAGATTTTAGCAGAAAGACTGAATATGAATTAGCTTCATTTTAAATCCTGACGAGAATTCCTGAAGCAGCCCATGAGGTGCCACTTTAATGAGAAACAGCTAAAAGAAGCCTAGAATAGTAAGAAAGAAAATCACAAAATTTGTTTGGACATTGCAGAAAAGAGGCAAATTTTATTAGCTGCATACCCATATCCTCTTTATTTGCTTTTATACTCCTACTTTAAAAAGAGAGTAGGTGCAGATGAGAAAGGGAGGTATTGAAATAGCAGGGAACGTTGATACTCATTAAGATATTGTTTGTCACGCTTTAATTCCAACAAATGTGTCACAAGCACTTAGTACTTAGGACCATGCAGACGTCCTTTCCATAGGAAAGGGGTCATTTCAAGGGTGGGGTCCAATTTGGAAATTGCTAGAAAAACTAGACACTTATTAGCAGCCATCTCTCTCTGGAAATCCATAAAGACCACTGAAAAAAATGCCTTTCCGCACTTAAATTCTTCACAGAAGACAGAGAACTGAAGGATTCCAGAAACAATTAGAAATATGGTCTAGACTGACATATTAACAGAGTATAGTATCCAGCTACTTAGACTTCCTACAGGTACCACCTCTAAAGTGGCCTTCACCATATTCTTCTGGCCCATAAGACAACTACTTAATGATGCATGAAACTAATTACTATAAAATAAGACTAGCTCTGTGTGGTAGCTATTCACAACGTGGAAAATCACCCTTTTTCATGGCCTATTTTCTTTTAAAATGTGTGCCCTTTCCCCATCTTTAATGTGTCTTGTATATATAAAATAAATACTCTTCTCAGCAGGACCCTGGCTTGTAGGCCTTAAAATCCAATAAGAGAGTCCTGTAGTTTAATGGTCCTTAAACGTTCAACATCTTTTTCACTTAATGTAAAATCCATCTGATCTAATAGCTGTGACTGAATTATAGATATATAATTTTTTTCTATTAAATGTTAATCTTCTGACTTGGCAGAACAATGGAAGCTCTAAATTATTAAGAAGGCAATAACCTCTCTCAACTCTTTCCAGAATTCAGAATATTCCCAAGACTGCTATTTTAGGGAGGGAAATTGCAAACCTGCCTAAAATATAAAATAAAAATTGGGTCCATTAAGTACAACAATTTGGTTCCAAATATCAATTGTACAGGGCATTGTTTATATTGTTGCCTCTTCGGTTATTTCATGTTAATGGAATCCTACACGCGCATGCACACATGCACACACACACATGCACAGATACAGCCCTCACAATTCCTGCTTCTTCCATTTACATATGACATTTTGTAACCTTCCCTTTTCAGTTGAATTCATTCATCATCGATGTTTGTTCATGCACGCATAAATAATGAAAAAGCCCTCTGATAAGAAGTGATGCCACATGACCAATTATGCTAAACACAAGCTCTCTCATAGCTGGGGGAGGGGAGGTCTTGCTGGAATACCATTGGCTGCAGCCTTTTTTTTTTTTTTTTTTTAATCTTTACATTTATGACTCATTCGGGCCAAGAGTTCCACGCATGAAGGAGGAATCAGATGGCAGGTAACAAAGCAGGTTAATAGTTACTTGGAGAGACTGCTCTACACACTCCTGAGCCAAGTAACCAAAGGAGCACACAAGTCACCCCGAGTAGACACCAACTCCTGGCAGGCCCTTATGGCCCGTGAGAACTGTGCTCCACACGATTCTCAATGGTTGGTTGTTTCAGAAGCAGATTCTTCTAAGGCAACTCTGGATGGATTTGAACCATCAACCTTTTGGTTAGCAACCGAGTCTTTAAACTTGCACCACCTAGGGACTCTAGATTCAAAGAGTCAAGCAAAAACACAAGAAATCATCAAATTTCTAACAATTGAAAGTCACAGTTCCAGTTTAGCCAAGGATGTCAATTACATCCAATGAGAGCCAGACTGCTTTTACTATTTTTCCTTTGGTATCTGGTGCATGATATATTCTCTGGTGCAAACTCTTGTTTGCTTTTGGCATTTTTTTCTTTCTCTGAAAAATATTCATAATACTTTGTAACTAGGAGTAAAGTCTAGGTTCTCTTTTTCTCTGCCAATCGTGTACAACCATGTTTTGCATCTTCATCACAGGTAATTGTCTTTCCATCCTTATGGTGGGGTTAGGGGTAGTTTGGCGTACAGCACTTGGAAGAAAGACAGATCACCACAAGTTTGTACAATCCAATGCAGAGGAAAATGAGGAGGCAGTATCAAGTACTTTTCTTTCACTACAAGGAAGTGGGTATGAAGGAACGCATGTAACCGCTGCTATCTAGTGTCTGGCACTGGTATCAGCAGGCGCTGCAGGTATATGGGGTCATCAGTACCACCAAACATTCAACTGAAATCTTCCCTTTCCTACTTTGAAACAAGAGAGCCAGAAAACACGGACCATTCAGACAGGCAAGAAGCATGTGTGTGAAGACAGTTTGAGGTCCTTGTTGAGGACACTTGTTAAGGTCAGGAGAAATGGATTCCTGCTCAAAGGCTGCAAGGCAATAATATATCCATGCGTTCAGAACAGAAACATGTTAACCATACTATATGTATGTATATACAGTAATGACCGTCACTGTAATATAAAAATTTAAGGAGTTTGTTGTAGGAATATGTGATCTTATATTGAGACAATTATTTATAACTCTGACTTCCTGTCAAAAGAAACAAATTTTTCTAATTGAGACAAGAGTGACAGAAAAACCATACTGAAACCATTAATAAGACTTTCAACACAGGATTGAAATGGAAATGGAATGGTTCAGAGAGCACTCCCATCTTAGCAGCGATGTGAACACGGAATGCCAGAGAGACCAGCACTGCGCACTGCCTGTGTTCTACTTGTTCACGAACCTAAAGCTGCAGTCTTCAGCCCTGTACATGCAGTCTCACCTGTGCAATCAGGTGAATGAATGAAACAGTGGTATTGATTCAAGGTCACTTGATAATGCACTTGGACCACAAGCTCGGCAGTTCAAGCTCACTAGCCGTGCCTTGGAAACACTCTACAGGGAGCCAATCAACAGCACTTAACAACAGTTAACGTAAAATAGACATTACCACCTGTATTTTAGGTCCCACTGTCTCCTACCCTACATTCTCCAAAAGTAGCAAATGGGTTGGTTTAACTTGCAAATCCTTTTACAAGGATGCTTAAAACAACAAGTCATCGATAGCATTTTATTGATGGTTGAAGATAAAATACAGTAAAACATGTAAGGTCCCCTTTGCGTTCCTCAGGGAAATACAACACTGAAACGGCAGTGTTCAGGACAGAAGTTTGCTCTATTCAAGAGCCTCAATGGGTGTCCTCCAGCTTGCGAGCCAGCACTTACGTTGAAGGACACTACACGCAACAATTACCGAGACTCAGTGCTGCTTATGGAAAGTGCATTACACCCCCAGTTTGGACTTTTCACTGATGTTTCTGTACTGAAGAAACACGATGGCTTACTGTTTTGTGGGAAAAGCTATTCTGAAGGTCCTTGGTCCCTGCTATTATACAGAAATGGGATTGAAATCTGCTTCAGGTTGTTCTGGGGTAATTGCAAAGGCACATTTTGCCAGTTAAGAAAAGTTGGCTTAGTTTTAGACAACTAATTTTAGAAAAACTCAAAGAGAAATCATTTGTTTTGTTTGTTTGCTAACAAATTAGTCATTTTCAATTTGATTGGAAAACAATGTATTTAAAAAAAAAAGACATATAAGCCTTCTTTAATGAGATGTTATTAATGAAAAATGGTTGGTTACATCAGTATATTTACACCATAAATATGTCTGACATTATTATTTTCTTGCTATCTATATTCTTACAGTTTACTATGTTTATTATACTCTTGTCCAAAACCTTAAAGATCTATTTTCTAAAATCAATACTCTACTGCTAATCTTGCAAGAAAATGCATTTCACATTCGTAATCTCGGTAGTACAATCTTTCTATAAATAAATAGGAACCATTTGGAGGCTGCATAAAGAACGCTTGGTTACTATAGTAGCAAATGTCAAAGCAATTGCTGAAAAATAATCTAAATTTTTTGACACTTTGAGAAATTTACTATACCATTTATCTTTGTTTTTTTTAAAAGACAGTGGCAAGAAAAGTCACAAGTAAAAATGAAGACACTGTTGTGGAGACTATGAGACAATTCCATTCTAATTTTCTGAAATGGTCCACCCTGCTGCCCTTAATCTAAATGTAATCTTAATCTACAAACCTTTTATGAAAGGAGCTATGTGGAGGGGGGGGGGGTGTAAAAGAAAAATATCTGCACCTCCAAACAAGTTGAAGGCATTCATTAAGAACTTGAGTAGAAATGTAACCTGGCCAGCCAAGTTCTGATGCATTCCTTGAAGCCACACTGGGCCTCCTGGCTCAGATGAGGGTCTGAAAGGCCTTTTGTCCACTTAAAAATGGCCACTGACCAAATTAATTTCTCTGAAAGAAATGTGAACTCACTCAGGTTTTATTAGGAATTCAAAGTACAGTGTTATGCTGTTTGCCACACTGTAAAATGTACATATTCAGAATATAAGATTTGAACTGATATTGAAAAACTCAGTAGCATACTCATCTAATTAAAAAAAACAACAACTTACTGGTGGAACAAAATAGATTTTATTTTTGTTCTGCTAGCACGGTAAGGCCCAGCAAGGCTGTGAGTTTTGCATAGACTGCTCAGCACCAGCAGGATAAAGTGGACAGTGGCTGGTCAGTACTGACCGCTAGCACACCAGCCCCTGCCGCATCTGTATGATCTGGAGTAAGGCTGCCTGGACGTCTTCATCCATGTGACCCTGGAGAGAAAGAAGAAACGGGCATCTTCATTTACACAAGACTGCTGAACACAAGGCTTTATAGCAGAGCATAAGCGGTCGTGATTCACCAAATGCTAAATCCTCACCATCGTGCTGATACTCCAGAGGAATTACTGAAAACAGGAGTTTATTTCTACAATGGAAATAAACTCAATTTAAAACTGGTGTATAGCATCTGCTCTTAATATATACTATCAGAAAGCAGGTAACTAAACCTCTATCTATTTTAATAACAGCTGTAGATGTTGTTATTGTTAAGTGTCTTCAAAGTTAATTCCAACTAATGGTGACCCTGTACAGGGTTTCTGAGGCTGTAAATATTAATGGGAGCAGAAAGCCTCCTATTTCTCCTGAGGAATGGCTGGTAGACCCAATCCATCAACCTAGTGGTTAGGCAGTGCAGTGCTTACTCTACAGAGTCACTGCAATATGGGTTGTTGCTGTTGTTAGATACAGTCTAGTCAGTACCGACTCACAGCAACCTCATGCACAGCAGAACAAAACCCTGCCCCATCCTGCGCCAACCTTACAATCATCGTTACACTTGAGCCCAATGATGCTGCCACGGTGCTAATCCATCTTGTTGAAGTCTTCCTCTTTTTCACTGATCTTCCACTTTATCAAACATGGTATCCTTCTCCAGGGACTGGTTCCTCCTGACAATGCGTCTGAAGTATGAGAGATGAAGCCAGGCCATCCTGACTTCTAAGGAGCATTCTGGCTATATTTCTTCCAACACAGACTGGTTTGGTCTATGGCACTTTAATATTCTCCTCCAACATCATAACTGAAATGCGTCAGTTCTTCTATGGTCTTCTTTACTCATTGTCCAAATCTCACATGTATATGAGATTATTGAAAATACCATGGCTTGGGTCAGGTACACCTTAGTGTGCTGACATCTTTGTTCTTTAACACTTTAAAAAGGTCTTGTGCAACAGATTTGCCTAAAGCAATACGTCGTCTGATTTCTTGTCTGCTGCTTCCATGAGTGTTGACGGCGGTGTGGGCAGAGTAAGTTATAAATGAGCAAAGCAAACTATAAGGAAACTTTTCCTTTGGTTTCTGCCAAGGATTTTATTTTATTTTTAGACAAGGAACTTATGAAAAAAAAAAAATCCCCATATTCCCAATATGTGTATTTTTGTATACATTGCTATCAGGTTAACTTCAGCTCTTACTGACCCTCAAGGACCGGGTAGAGTAGCTCCCTGGGGCCGCTGAGGCTGTAAATCTTTATGGACTGGGGCTGCCCCACCTTTCTCCCTTGAAGTGGCTGATGGTTGAACCATTGACTTTTTGGCCAGCAGCCTAATGCTTAACCTACTGTGCCACCAGGGACCCTCATATTTTTATATAAATAGGACCACATAATATTTTGCAAATTGTCTTTTCCCTTATCTGCTACAGAATATTTTCTCTAGTTTAAGCTAATTATTTTAAATGACTGTATAATATTCCAGTGTATAAATGTATCATAATTTCTTTACTTAGTTCCTCAATGATGGACACGAAAATGTTCCTGATTTTTATGGATAGATTCCTGTAGAAGAAATTGCTAGATCAAAAAGTAGTCTCAGGTTTTTTTTACTTCACTAAGAACAACAGATCTGCCCTTGTATAGCGGTTACAGCACTTTCCAGTTCCCCCAGCAGAGTGTGTATGCGATTTCCCACAGCATTCAGGCCAACGTCACATCCCTCACATCCCTCCTCGGGGGAACACTGTACCTGCTTGTCTATTTGCATCACTCCCATTACTGGCTGAGCAGCTTTTCACAGGCTCAAAAGTCACTTAGATTGAGAAAGAGGCATTTTCAATGGAAAAAGATGGCAAGAGACTGATTCAATGCAAGACATCAACATGGTGGGCTTATAAGCACTCCTCCCTGTTACTTTTTTTATTTTGCTTGAGCATTTAAAATATTTTCTATTGATATACAAAGTTTTGCTTTCCAAATCTGTTTCTATAACAGCTGGAGGTTTAAATTGCGAACATTAGCCAGAGTTGGCTAAACTGGGTTTCTTAGTTAACTTTAGGATGTCAGGAGGCAAGAGAATTTCAGCTGTCAGTTGTCTGTTATGTTTCATTAGGAGTCAACCAAAAGGCTTGTTAGTGTGCAGTACCTTGTAGGCAACAATGTGATCTTCCTCCACAGGCTGATACCGGATCTGATAGTTGCCCTCTCTAATGAAGACCTCTTAAGCTTTTATACTATTTCCCCTCCTTAACTCTCTACAAGAGGAGTCACTGGTTGGGACAAGTGGGTAAGCAATTGACTACTAGCTGAAAGGCTGACAGTCTGAACTCACCCAAAGATGCTGGGAAGACAGGACAGGTGATCTTTTTCCAAAAGGTCACAGCCTTGAAAACCCTATGGAGCAGTTCTAGTCTGTGTGCACAGGGTCACCATGAATTGCAAGGAGCCACAACAACAACAACAAACTCCCTATGTCGATGTTCACCAATAGTCTTCCTCCAATGACTGCAATACATTTTCAAATCGCAGCTTCTCTTCCATCCACTCAAAAGACAGTGGACAAAGAAACCTTCCTCTCAGACCAGTCATTCTTTATCATTATTTCCTTCTCCAATTCCTAGAGAAAGGTGGATTTTTTTATGTTAAGATTTTGATATTGTAAAGTTTCTCCCTCTTAATTATTTTGCCTAGATTTTTTTTAATGAGCTTTCTTTCAACACCTCTCTTCTTCTTCTTTTACTAAGTTAGCCTGACCCAGTTCAAATTCTGACATTCTGAAACATTTCTATTATATCATTCCTTCCTGTTCCAGCATCTGTCCCTCTAGTACATCTTCCTGAAAAATCAATACTGAGAATTCTTGAGATGAGTATCTGTAGTGCATAAAGCACAGTACCCTTCATATTTTAATAGTTTCTGGCAGGATTAAAAAAAAAAAAAAAAAAAGCTTTCTAAGCATATCCCCAAAGAAGGGAGTTCCTAATCTTACGCTTCCCAGAGTTTAAGGCTCGATAAGTATTATTGATGATTTTTCTCACAGAACCAAGTGTTCTCTTAATTATTACAATTCGATGCACACCCTACTTGTCATTTTTTGCACTTTTATAGAACCCCCTGCATTTCAAAGAAACGCTCTTGAGCTATCAAGAAACATATGAAGCCCTTTCCACGCTCTTCTCTTAGCTGACAGCTACATGTAGATGTCGACGTACTGTGCCCGCTAGCAACACCGTGAGCGTGTGCTGCCATGAGATGTTGTCAGACTGTCTACAGACTGAGTGACAAGCAGATGGAGACCACACTACATTTAAGATGCTGTGTTGCCATATAGCTTTGTAAATTTCTCTGGGAGATATGCAATCACGAAGAAAAGAAATGAAATTATTTTTAAATAAGCATATGGGGTACAACTACTTTAAACAACAATTGCTTTCACATAAATTTACGTGAAATTAAAAAAAACAACAAGTTGTCTAAGACGATCTCCTCTCCAAAAGAGAGCTGGTTCTGTACCTGCGCAGCACTAAGAAGGTGTGTCCGGTAAATTGCGATCACTTCTTGGTGCTGCCTGTCTGCATCCTGGAAATGGGAAAAGATGGAAAGAAGCGAAAATCAGCAATCACACTGTCAAACGCATGGAGGCCTGTGACAAGGCTATCCTCAGGCCTGATGATGCAGCACAGCTGTATAATGGTTGTATTCCCCCTACTTCTCCTATCACACTACCATGCACCCGGCAGATGTAGAATGCCTTTATGTAACAACAGAAACAATGTTTCTAATGACTGCATAAGCACATTCATAGTAAAGCCAATGCCATTTTCCCAAAGGGAACGTGCAATCATTGCCTTAGCTTCTCATCTAATGCCACAAACCTAGTCCAGACACTACCAATTTATTCTTTAGATTATTACAGAAAGTTCCTATTTCATCCTCCTATCTGCAGACATTACTGCATACCAGGCTTCTCAGACTGAAGTACCTCTTTCCTGGCATCTCTTTGGCTCAAACACCTTGCGTGACATACCTCTTCACAAAGAAGAGAGACTCTAAAATCATTGACTTGGTTCTTAACATCTCCCACAATTTGGCCTCAAATAAACGATGGGGCTTAATAAGTTCATGGAAAAATGGAATGAAAGGTAATGGGATTTTCCCATGAATTTTCTGAAGCCCCCTTAGCTCCGAGAACTAGCCATCCTGGGCCGCCTTTCACTGACCCCAGGACACACCGTGTTTATTCATCTCTGTACCTTTCTTCACGTGGTGTTCTTTCCCTGGTGATCTTCTATTTTCTCTTCACTTGTCATAACATCATCTACCTTGCAAGTTCAGGTTAGGTACTCAGTTCCTCTTTGAAACTTGCTCCTAACACAAGTCGTCTTTTCTTCCTAGACTTGCACATCACCTAGAATCTGGAGCTACATTCTCAATTCTACATTTGATATCTCTTGTCTTATTTTAATTCTTATCTCTGTGCATTTTGCCCAATGACCCACAACTGCTTGTAGCAGTGTGCTGTATTCTCTTCACCCCTGGCAGTGTCATGAGCATAAATATTTATAAATAAATATTTCCAAATATTAAAGGCAATGCCATATCCCATGGATAAAATCTAAATCAGCAATCTGTGGTTAATCTATAGGCTACCAGTGCTAAAACTGAACACTCTGAAAAATCACTTTCTTCTGTTCCAAAGGTATTCATAGTCAATTCCTGCAGGATACAAAAATACTAGCAAGAGTTTACATTGGATTGATGCTAAATTTTACTTAGCTTCATTTCACAATAGTTCACTTCATTTAAAAATGTAAACAAATCAAGAAATCAGTTTTTACCATCCAATTTGAAGGATGAGGAAGTCAAAGGTTTAAGGTCAATGGGAATTTCCCATGTGTCACTAGTTTTTAACTGGCAGAGCTTAGAAGTGAGCTCTAAATACACAGGCTTTCTTTTTAATACCACATCCGAGGACAAAGGGTATAAAACCATAAGACCACCTAATTTTATTGTAAGGGTAAAATAATTCTAAGAAAAGCCCCTGCTTCATGGGCCAATATTTCAGAGAAGGAATTACAGTGGGAAAGCCAATTAACTTCAGCTTTAGACCCTAGCTCTAAGACCCTAGGCATCAAGTGTTCAAATGGTGGCTCCTTTAAGAATTCATTGCAGAGTGCAGAACCTCCCTTCTAGGGCTGTGATGAAGACAAAATTGAGAGCTGGAGTATGTAAAATGTTCACTGCACTGCCTGACATATGAAAACAAAACTAAACATAAAATCCTACTACTCCCAAGTCGATTCCAGCTCATTATGACACTATAGGACACAGCAGAATTGCCCTATAGGGTCTCCTAGGCTGTCATCTTTGTGTGGCACTGTGGGAAAGCACTGGACCAACTGCAAGGCTGGTTTGAACCACAAAGTCAATGGTTCAAGCTCGCCAGCCGCTCCTTGGAAAGCCTATACAGGGTCTCTATGAGTTGGAACCAACTCAGCGGCAATTAACAACCTTTAGGGAAGTGGACTGCCATATCTTTCTTCCTTGGAGAGGTGGTGGGTTTGAACCATTGACCTTTCAGTGAACATTCTAGAGCTTAACCAATGTTCCATAAAGGTGCTTTAGGCATATAAGAAAACCTGCTGCCATCAAGTCAGTCCCGACTCATAGCAATCCTATACTGGGTCCCGGAGACTGTAAGTCTCTATCAGAGCAGACAGCCTCATTGTTCTCTTGGGGAGCAACTGGTGTGTTTGAACTACTGACCTTGCCCAACGCCTAACACACAGTGCCAGGTAGGCACCAAATACATGATACTATCATACTATTCATATAGGCAACTTCTAGCACCACCTGAGCACATTCACAAATCGGTCTGATTTCTAGTAAATTTTAGCAAATGGAAACACACAGGAATGAGCATCGGTCCCATCAGCACTTGGCCCTGCTAGTCGGTTACTTACAGCCAGCTGCTGCTGCAGAGATTCCACTTGGTGCTGCAGAGTCTCGACCAGGTGACTCTGTCTCTTGGTGGGAGTCCCACTCATGTAGGTAAGCTGAGAAATGCCATTGAGGGCCTGTTGTAGTCTTTCTACATCATTAAGCAGTTCAGTTATCTTATTTTTAAAAAAGAGAGAAAGAAACATATTACTTATTTATATTGACTCTCTCTACACAGAAACTATTATTTGAGACATAAAACTTTATATACCAGAAAACTGAGATATGAGTGTTATCAAGATTTTTTGGAATGACATAGGTATATAGTAGATACCTTAATTTCTCTATTTAAATTCCTTGGTAAATTTGGTAAATTCCTTACAAAAGCATTACCAAATGGACATAAAGTTCATGGATAGCCTAAGATTTAAATAAGACATAAGTCTTCCTGACTTCTAGGATCATCTGTTTGTACCTATGAAGGTATGTACACTATTTTCCAGGTCAGGGTTGGAGCAAAAGAAAGTAGGGTGCACTCCCTCCAATGATGTTTGGAAAGTTAAAGGACACATCTTTGAGTATAATTCTAGAATTAACTTACATGTTTTACTTCTTTCAAGAATATGCATATTTTAGACTACACTGTCTGAAGAAAAAATCAGGGGGGTTGTTTATAGTAAAAAGAATATAGCTTTTCAAATCAGACTAATTTGACATTTATTAGCTGGGTACACTTGGCTGACTTTTTTCCTTTTCTGAGCCTTAGTTTCTTCATCAGTGAAAGGGGGAAAACTACTCTGCATTACGAAAATGGCATGTGGTCATAAATCTATGCCTGGCATGTAAGTAGCAATGGTTATAAGAAAGTATTGTGGCCTCCTGGTATGGCGCTGGACTGCAAAGCACAAGGTTGGCAGTTCAAACCCACCACCTCAGAAACCCTGTGCGGGGTTTCTCTGAGTCGGAATCAATTCGACAGCACTTAACGACAACACCACCAGTCTACTCGATTCTGATGCATGGTGACCACACGTGAGCAGAACACAATGTCTCCATCATATTCTTAAGGCTATGACCTTTGAGGAGCAGACTGCCAGGTCTACCTTCCAAGGTACTTCAGGGTGGGTTCCAACCACCAGCCTGTTGGCTAGCAGACTAGTGCTTAAGCTATCTGTACCACCCAGGGACTCTGAGAATACACTGGTGTTAAGTACCACTGAGTCCATTCTGACTCACAGTGACCCTGTACAGAGTGTCCAAGGAGCAGCTGATGTTTGAACTGCTGACCTTGTGGTTTGCAGTTTAGTGTTGAGCCACAGTGCCACCCCAGAAGCCCCCAAGTACATATTAGCAACTAGCTATTATAATTTTAAATTACTATTTTCATAACCACCTTCCAAACAAGACTTAGGGCATTTACATTCTGGGTTGTATGGGCAGATATGTTTGATAATTAGCACTGTATCTCTCCACTGAGAAGGGCCGGCTTTGATTCACTGTCATATCCCCAACACCGAACATACAGTACTAAGCATGTAGAAGACATTTTCTAATTATTCAATGGAGTCCTGGTGTGGCGCTGAGGATAGTGCACTAGACAGCAAGGTCAGTTTGAACCACAACATCAGCAGTTCAAATCCACCAGCTACATCACAGAAAACCTATATAGGGTTGCTGTGAGTCACAACTGACTTGACAGCACTTAACAACAATTATTAAATAAGAATATGTGTTCTATTTTCCTGACTTCTCATCTCATAGAACACACTCTATACAACTACATGTACATAGGATTAATGCATATAACTACACAAATAGTGCTGAGCACAGAGTCTATAAATTTCACCACGAGAATGAAGGAAAACTACATTGTAAAACCAGGTCTTTAAAAACTGGCTGGAGAACCTTCTGAGGTGGGACATTCCCACTTGAAAGGACAAGCAGACAAGCCTAGAAGAGCTAGAGGAACAGAAGATACTTCCTGAAAGAAAGACCAGCAGGAAAAAATCCAAAACAAAAATGGCAGTCTGATTGGCTACTACAAGAACAAGCAAATTGTTTGTCGGGGAGCCATCAGGGCAAACAATCAAGCCCCTTCAGGGCAAAGAGCCCTCCAAGACTGAAACTCAAAGGGAACACATGAGCAGGCTTCTAAGCTTGCTGGAGACCACATTGGTCTCCTGGTGAGTGGAAGAGGGGGAAAGGCAGCAATGAAGATATGGGCCAAGTTCACCTTCCATAAACTCCTGTTGACCTGGAGATGAGAGCGAGAAGAGGAAGGGTTGGTTGGTCTGAAGTGTGGTGAGACCTGGGGACCCCTGAGCCCATGGACAAGGACATTGCCATGGAGGGCTAGAGCTGAGAGAGAAGCATCCAGCTGATATGAAGTGAGGGGAGATGCACAAGAACGCCCAAACTTGTAGATAGCACCCACTCGACTTGGCTTTGATGGCTTCAAGATTTAAAAAAAAAAAATTTTTTTTGTATAAAGTTAACAAGTGTAAATTGCTACAATTTGATGAACTTGACCTATACTTATGGATGTTGTTGGTTGGCTGGTTATGTGCCGTGGAGTTGGTTCCAACTCATAGTGACCCTGTACAGGGTTTCTGAGGCTGTAAATCTTTACGGGAACAGAAAGCCTCATCTTTCTCCTGTGGAACAGCTGGTAGTTTCAAACTGCTGACCTTGCGGTTCGCAGCCCGATTTCTAACCACTATTAGCTCAAAATACCAACTGAGAGGGAAGAAGTCTTCACGTCAAGGATCAATCTTATCCCCTCCATATAAGGTTGTTAGGGGTGGGCAAATTATACATTGGCTACCTAAAATGGGTGGCTGTAAAAGCACGAAGTGACTGGCTTACAAGTTTTCAAGAAAGAGTTTAGTTTCAAAGTGTGCAGGGGAAGGTAGAGTCCCTACTGAATAGTTTTCATCTTGTCTAGTTGGGCTTGGTGAAAAGAGATGGAGATAAGATTCTTATGATTCAATAAAGAGTAATAGTCATCATGACTAATTGCGACTGTCACAATTGTAAAAGTAGAAGTTTTGTAACATAAAGGAAGAGTAGTTAATCTTACATTCCAGGAACAGAGGCTCCAAGGACCATCAAGGGAGAAGAGCTTGAGTGTAATGTGGGACCCTATCCAGAGAAGCAGTGACACCAGCAATGGATACAGAGATGAGGACAAGGAAAGACAGAGCACCTGAGGACTCTAGACTCATGGAAAGAGAAAGGCTGTGTGCTGGTGGCCAGGTGCTGGTGACCAGGAGGCAGTCTTGAAGAATGTGCCCTTTGGTTAAATGATTTAAATGATTCCTGAATGTTTTTGTGTCCATTCCCGCCTCCCAAAAAAAAAAACACAAAAAAAAAAAAAAAAAAAAAAAAAAACAAAAAAAAAAAAAAAAAAAAACATCAGAGGGAATAGAAGGTAATACTGTTGAAAGATGATGCATGGAGGATATTGTAATCATTGCAATGAAACAAGGAGTATAAAACCAATGTCCTCCCATGTAAACTATCACTCAATTCACAATAAAACCTTAAAACAAAAGAAAAGAGGGACTAGGTAAATACTGGTAAATGGTAGTACATGGAGGAGACTGTAATCATTGCAATGAAACAAAAGCAATACAAGTTTTTGAATGTGAAAAACAAACAAAACTGGCTGGGTGCTGACTTCCTCTTACTGGTGCTAGAGTCACAGGGAGACAGTGGGGATAGTTGCACAACATAATATATGTAATAATGCTGCCCAACTGCACGTGTGGAAATGCTGACTCTACAAGTGTTTTGTTATATATGTTGTTAAGTCTGTGGAGGTGGTTCCGATTCACAGTGATCCTATATAGGGTTTCCAAGGCTTTAAATCTTATCAAGAGCAGAAAGTTTCATTTTTCTTCTGCAGAGGGGGTGCCGGGCTTGAACCATAGACCCTGTAGCTCGCAGTGAGGTACTTATCGTATGGAACCACTGAGCTCCCATTTTATGTGTGTGTGTTGTTGTTGTTAAGTGCCTTCAAGTCAGTTCTGACTCTTCGCAACCCTGTATAGCGTTTCCAAGGAGTGATTCGTGGGTCTGAACCACTGACCTTGTTGTTCCAAGTCCAGTGCTGATCCTACAGCACCACAGCATGACTCCATTACACACACACACACTTTTGTTTTTTACAAAAATGTAACAATTAAAAAAAAAATTGGTTGTAAAGATAAATACACCAAAATCTAATAAACGTTTTAAATGGATGGCAAAGCCCAAAATAAAGCACATTTTGCTGTATAGGTTAGAGTAGACGGTGAAGGCTTTAGGAAGCAGGACAAGTGTTAAAATGCCTCTTAGAGAATGTAAAGGATTCAACTTAGTGGGGAACCAGTCTGGAAAAAGATACAGGGACAAAATGTTCTGTGAATTGAAGGGCTCAGTTACTGGTATGGATGAGGGCTAAGATCCAACTTCAGATGCTCCCCAGTGTCCTTGGCTTCTTGCAGCCCCCAGTTTTCCTCATCTCCATTCCTATGCTTCAGATGCCCTAAACCCCACTGGATTTTGGCCATTCATTTATGAAGCAAAAGAATCTTGTGTCTCCTATCTTTCCTCAATCGCTGACTATACCAGCTGAGGAAATGCACAAAAAACACTTCTGATTTTTGTGTATCTAACTTCACTTTTTTTAAATTCAGAATCATTCTGCACACCAGTAGTCAACTGGAAAGGGAGCATCTAATGGTCTTCATTAATACTTTGTTCATACTTTTCTAAACTCATCTGCGACACTATGGCAAAAAATAACAGAGACCCACTGCCCTGGAGTCAGTTCCAACTCATGGTAACCATACAGGTCAGAGAACAGCTCCATTGGGGTTCCATGGCTTTGATCTTCACGGCAGTAAACTGCCACATCTGCCTCCCATGGAGCGACTGGTGGTTTTGAACTGCTGGACCTTTTAGTGAGCTGTCAAGCATTTAAACACTGTCCCACCAGGGCACCTGACTACTCGGTAAACAGTCCCAGTGCTCTTCCACTCTGACCGTTCTGCTTTGGGTGTTCTACCCCATGGCCGAGAAGACTACATTGTGCTTACCTTCTTATCTTTGGCTTCAATTTGTTGAGCAGACTCTTGTATCCTTCTCTGCAACTCTGTGACTGTCGTCAAGGATTTATCACACCGCTCTCGCTGGTCCTGGATTTCTTGCTCAATGCTAAAATGGAGTAATTCCTTCTCATCCTTTGCAAAGAGTTCCTTCTTTTTGGCATGCAAAACCTCCTCACATGCGTCCTCATACTTCCTATTCAGGTTCGCCAATTTTTCATTCAAGTTGGAAATTTGCATCTCCAAATCACTTTTCATACTTTTAAATTTAGACAAATCAACGACCTCTCTAGTCTCTAATTTCTTCAATGCTTGTTTAGTATTATGAACCTCAGACTGGAGTTTGGAGACTTCTTCGGTTTTGTTTTGGCTTTCGGCTTCCTTTTCTTTCAAGCTGGCTTTCATGACTCTAACTTCTTTCTCAAAGGCTTCCTTAGTTTGCAAATGCTCCACCAAGGGCACAGAGGAGTTCTTTTGATTCTCCAACATTTGCTGCAATTTGGTCACTGCCTGCTGCTCTTTCTCATAACACCTTTGTTTATCCTGCAGTTCTTCCCTTAGATTCTCAATTGTGCCCTTCAGAGATTTTTTCAGAGCCTCAAACTGCTCCAGTGGAACAGACTGTGTTTGCAAACGAGTTTGCACTGCAAGTATCTCAGAAGTCCGTTTGGCATTTTCTTCAGCTAGCTTCTCTTTCTCATTCTTTACCTCTGTGTATTTCTGCGACAAGTCTTTTAACTGTTTGCCTAGGTCTTCTGTTTTTCTGTTGACCGCTCTTTCCAGTTCATGAGAATTCTCAATGAGAACATTCTTCTCCTTTAACTCCTTCTGAAGGGACAGGATCTCATTCTTTAACTCTTCAACCTCTTGTTTGTATTTCTTGGCCTCCTCTTCCCTGGCACTATACCGCTGTGTCTGTTCTGATAACTGGTCTTTCAGTTCTTTCTCTGCTGCTTTAAATTTTCTCTCACACTCTTCTAAGCTGATAATTGGCGCGTATTTTAGCTTAATGCACTCTTGTATTGTGTCGAGTTCCTTCTTCTGGGCTTCGATTTCCGCATGCAGCCTCCCAATCTCCTCTTGGCCTTTTCTGTAGTTTGCTGATATTTCAGCACTGTTCTCCTGCACCTTTCTCAGGCTGTCACTCACAGTCCCCATCTTCTCCTCATGCTCCTTCAGGCTCATGTACTCGACTCGCATTTGGGTCTGAGTGTTTTCCAGGTTCCTTTTTAATACATCACTCTCATGTTTTGCTTTTAGGAAGTCATGATTTTTATCTTCAAGTTTTTTCTTCATGTCGATTAATTCTTGGTTTGCTTTATCTAAGGTGCTGCTCAATGTCGTTTTTACCTCTTCGTGGGTTTTAAGTGGCACATACTGATGACTGATGGTCTTTTTCAAGCTAGCGCTTTCAGACAGGAGTGCGCGCATTTTCTCTTGGTCATCACTACATTTTCTATTCAGTTCCGAGAGCTGGCTTTTAAGTTCGACTACACTGGATTTCAAAGCCATTGTCTCTTTTTCATGTTTCTCAGGAGGTATGGACACAGATTCCAGGCGGCTAACGTTCTTCCTTAAACTGGCATTTTCCATCAGCAATTTCTCTATTTCCAACTTCCTGTCAGAATATTTTTGTGTTACATCTAACAGCTTTTTATTCAAACCATCAACAATCGCATCGTGTGACTTTTTCATTTCTTCACTTACTTTCATGGGAACATAATGGCTCTTCATTTCAAGTGTTAAGTTATGTACTTGCTGGTTGAGGAGTTTATTGTCCAGGTAAACTTTTTCGATTTCCTTTTGCAGTGTCTGATTTTTCAACGTTAACTCAGTGATCTTCTTCCCGAGTTCTCCTGACTTTTGCTCTAATCTGCTCTTGAGGGACTCATGTTCCTCTGGTTTGACATGCTGAGCAAGCTTGGCCTTAGAGTTCTCAAGTTCTCTCTTTAACTGTCTAATTTCACTAAGAGATTTTTCATACTGTCTTTCCATCTCTATCAATTTTTTTGCCTTCTCATTCACTTCATTTGATAGTGAGCTCTTCATGTTTTCAAATTTTTCTGTCGGCACAGAAAGGGCTAACTTTGCTGCCAGTTCTTTTAGCCGGCCTTCCATCTCTGTGATCTCCCTCCCTTTCTTCCCTTGCTCCATCTCACACACTCCACATTCCTTCTGCAATCGCTTGTTTTCCTCCTTCAGCTTGCCTTCTTCCCTCTTAAACTCTTCTACGAGCATCTCCGTTTGTTTGATGTGGTTTCGTAGTTTCCCCACTTCAGCTGAAGCGCCTTCGTATTTAGCCTTCATGTCTCTCACCTGCTCCCGCAGTTCCTCTGTCGCTCTGTGACTCCCAGGCGCTGCCTCACTCGTGAGGTGCTCTTTCAGGGCGAGGAAATGCGTCTGCATCTGTTTCACTTTGCCTTCTGACTCATACATCCTCTTCTGCACATCTTTTAAGGCGTCTTCTAATTGCTTGATCTGCTCATCTGAGTCCTCCTTGACTCTCTCGCATTCCAGCGCTAAAGCTTTGCATTCTGCCACTTTGTGAGCCAGCTCATTCTGCAGCCTAAACCGGTCTTGTTTCGCTGAATCACAGAAAGTTCTCATTGCTTCCAACTCTTTCTTTAAAATTTCATTTTCAGAATATGAGGCCTGACTGGGTAAAGATAGCTCCAGTGGTCTTAACATAGATCTGCTTTGCATATGGGCTGGCATACCTGGGGAAGAACACTGAAAAGGTAAAAAAAAAAAAATCCATCAAAAATCAATCACAAAAGCCTAAGCAAGACACTTCTTAATATAGTTAACTGCCAAACTTACATAAAGTGTCCACACTGTCTGTAATCTATAGGTTTCTTAATGGTATGTCGGAAAAATATAGCACTGCTATTTGAGGTAAGAATAAAAGAATAAAAATATAGCACTGCTATTTGAGGTAAGAATAAAAGAGCTCTGGGTCTGATTTTCATCAGACATTTTTTTTTTTTTTGACAGTGGAAGACTTTTATTCAACAAAAAGTTTTCAAGTTTGCTCAGGCAATTCTACATTGATGTTGCCACAATATTTTTTTTTTTCTTTTTAAGGTTTTTATTGTGGATTGAGTTAAAGTTTACAGGGCAGATCATCAGTTTGACATTCAACAAATCATACACGTTGTTTCATTACAATGATTATAATCCCCTCCATGGACCATCAGTTAACAGTATTTCTCTCTATCCACTTTAGCTTTTTTTAAAAAAAAAAAAAAAACACTCAGGCATAGATCATAATTTACATCTCCAAAGGGCACATTCTGTAAGTCTGCCTCCTGGCTACCAGCTCTTAGTCCCTCTCTTCACATGAATCTAGAGTCCTCAGCCACTCCCCATTTCCATGTCTCCATCTCTGCCTCCATTTCTGGTGCTGCTGCTTCTCTGGATAAGTCCCGCATTCTGCTTGTGCGCTTCTCCCTTGATGGTCCTAGGATCCTCTGTTTCTGGACTATAAGATTAACCACTCCCCTGTTTTTGTTACAAAACTTCTACCTTCACGATTGTGACAGTCACAATTAGTCATGATACCAATTATTCACTATTGAATCATATGAATCTTATCTAGACAAGATGAAGTCTATTCAGTGGGGACTCTTTCTTTCCCCGCATACTCTTAAACTCCTTCTTGAAACCTTGTAAGCCAGTCACTTTGTGCCTTTGTTGCCCCCTCATTTTAGGTAGCCAATGTCTAAGTTGCCCGTCCCTCCCTACCTTGTGTTCAGAGGGGATAGCATTGATACTTGATGTGAAGACTCCTTCCCTCTCTGTTGGTATTTAGAGTAACTACCGCTCTGAGTAGCGTAGTGGTTACGAACCGCAAGGTCAGCAGTTTGAAACTACCAGCGGTTCCACGGGAGAAAGATGAGGCGTTCTGTTCCCATAAAGATTTACAGCCTCAGAAACCCTGTGCAGGGTCGCTATGGGTCGGAACTGACTCCACAGCACATAACAACAACATTCACTTGAGTCTATTTCTGACAGAACAAAGAAGGTAACTATTTGCCACCACTGAGTACTGTTTTCTCTTTTTTCAACGTTCAAAATTCCTACCCACACATAAATAACAACTTTATCAGAACCCCTGAATAAAAACAAGTACAATAATTTTAAACCCACAATTTCACAGAATAATATATATCTTTAATTTCTAATAAAATACACGGTTTATGATTACCCTCAACGTTAACTCCAATGTAATGTTGGTTAAATTATAAACACACCACCGAGATAAACGCAGCTGTGTAAGACTTGTCGACAGAATGGTACTCAACTCATAAAAAAAGAAACAAGATTTTTCTCCAAAGTATGAATGTGACTTAGAATTTAGCACATGATTTTAGTGCAAATCCGAAAAACATCTTGTTTCCCCTCTTAAGTTCTAACAAAAAAAGAAGTATGACTCAATGTCTCAGTGCAATAGTTCACAAATACCAGAACATATAATCATAAAAGACCAAAGTTGAACTATTTTTATTTTCCCATATAGCCTACTGAAATTAAGGCTTTTTGCAAGTATTGTTGTTGCTGTGAAGTGCTGACGAGTTGGTTCTGACCCATAGCGATTCTGTATAGGGTTTCTGAGGAGCAGCTGGTGAGCTAGAACTGCTGACCTTGAATTCCAGCACATTAACCCACAGCACCACACCAGGACTCCTTTACAAGTCTCAGTTCATTGATAGAAGCCGTGTGTTGCAAGCACACTGCACAATGAAAAGGCATGCTTACTGCTGTCCAGTTAAATCCGAACTGCCTTTCACTGGATCAAGAGGAAGAAAACTGACAGATGGGATTACTTCAAAGCCGGATTCTAAATTATCTTTCAGTTTACCAACGAGCTTTATCTTGAGACTACTATAATTTACCAACAAATTATTACATTGTCATGCAACATCAATGCTTGTTGTATTACCATCAGATACTCACTCATTTAAAATAATTATTCAGTTGATCTCTCAATTGCTAATTTTAGAATTTTCCATCTTAAAAAGTTCTTACATATCCATCTAAGCTAACTCAACTTGCCTAGAGATGAGGGTATGTAAAAAAGGCATATATGTTCATCTGTTCTCTAGTCCACAGAGGGGCTACAAACCCAAACCCTGTATGTATCCACTGGTCAGTAAAGGCAAACCCCTGATAAGTAGGTAAGCAAATCAGACAATCCTCTGCCTCTTTCTGAGCTGTCGTTGCTAGGTGCCATTGAGCTGGTACCGACTCACAGGGACCCGATGCACAACAGAACGAAACACTGCCCAGTCCTGAGCCAACCTCACAATCATTGCTATGCCTGAGCCCACTGCTGCCCCAAATAAACTATATCTGAATGCAAGAAAAAGTACATTTCAAAGCCATGAAGAATTCGTTTTGCACTATTTATGCCTGTGTCTCCCCCTAGATGGGCACATACCAAGAGCTCCGTGAGTGCTGTTAATGACTATCGTCCCAAACAAGGAAACGACAAGTTCATTCTCCTATCTGAGCCGTTGCCATCATAAACACTCTAGAGGGCACCAGAAGCAGCAATCTCTGTTTTTATTAAACTTAATCAAGCAAAACGAATTTTTCTTTGATATAAAACCTTGCCAAATGCATACACACTTGATTGATTGTATATGCCATTTTCCTCTTTATATTAAGAAACACATATTTTTAATTTTTTCATTAAAAAACAATATTACCTGTGAGTCTGCCATGTACATTTGACCTTGTTTAAGAAGCATATCTTCTTTTCCTAAATACAAATACATGACATATTAAGTACAGATGGCTACCAAAGCAGGCTACATTGTAATATCTCTACCAAAGCAGGCTACATTGTAATTTGGTTTCTTATCTCTCCTCTATTAATCAAATAAAAGAGAAGGATGATTTACAACATAAAGCTATTTTGTTCTGTTGCTGTGTGTCATCCAGCTGTTCTGACTCATAGTGACCCCGTGTGACACAGCACAGGTGCATCAAAGGACTTTCTCTTTAGGTTAGGAGTTGGGCTGCTAACTGCAAAGTCAGCAGTTGAAACCCACCAGTTGCTCCATGTGAAAACGATGATTTACAGTCTTGGAAAAGCCTATGTAGGGTCACTATGCGTCAGAATTGACTCAACGGCAATGTTGTTGTTGTGAAGTGCCGTTTAGTCAGTTCCAACCCATAGCGACCCTGTATAGGGTTTCTGAGGAGCGGCTGGTGAGCTTGAGCCGCCGACCTTGCAGTTCAAACCAACCTTGCACAACAGCGCATGACTCCTCAGAGCCGCACCTTTTTTGTTGTTGACTTGGGGGTGGGGTGGGAGGTCTTTACAGGAGCAGATCATTAGGGATTTCTCTCACTACTGGGTGGGGTCAAAACACCCACATTTAACCAGGGTTCTAAAATATCCATATTCACCTCATTATTTCTATAAACACAAGGAAAAGAAGACCTGTATTCTACTGGGCAGTAGGTTATGGAAATAAAGCTTGTTAGACTAAATCAGCTACATGGTTATCATAAAACATACCTCTCCTTCCCTCATAATAACAAGGAAAGGCTTTGCAATTTATAGGACAAACATTACCTATTGCACTTAGAGGATAATTTAATGATCATTGGAAAGCCACATATGTTTATTTATTTTCTGGATAAAATTTTTTAAATTGGGGAACAGTAAACAAAATTTAGATTAATTTTATGTAGTTTTAAACTAAGGATCCCTAATGATGCAGTGGGGTAAGTACTGGGCTAACTGCAAGGCTGGTGGTTCAAACCCACCTGTTGCTCCGTAGGAGAACTACAAGGCTGTCTGCTCCCATAGCACTTCAGTCTTGAAAGCCCAATGGAGTAGTTCTATCCTGTCTAAGAGGGTCACTATGGGTCAGAACCAACTCAGTGCCAGTGGTTTCATATTGGTTTGTTGTAGTTTTAAAATAATGAATAAATAACTGTGTTGGGCGTTTTTAAATTTAGAACACTTACTTCCATTGACACTTTATCTAAAGATCTCCCCATGTTAGAAAATTATGTTTCTTTGCATAAAAAAGGCCCATATATAACAATATTGTTGTTGTGGTTAAGTGCCAGCGAGTCAGTTCCGACTCATAGCGATCCTGTATAGGGTTTCCAAGTAGCAACTGGTGAGTTTGAACTGCCAACCTTGGAGTTCAAACAGATATTGCAGTCCAGCACATTAACCCATAGCGCCACACCAGGACTCGGTGTTGTAGTTGTTGTTAAGTACCATGGAGTCAGCTCAGGCTCATAGCGACCCTGTATAGGGTTTCCAAGGAGCAGCTGGTGAGCTTGAACCTTGTGGTTTAAACCGACCTTTCAGTCCAGTGCATTAGCCCACAGTGCTGCACCAGGAGCCAGGACTCCATATAACAGCATAAATGTCTACAAATACACAAAGTAACTAATCTTAGTAATTCACACAATAAGCAATTGTAAAATATAGGTGGCTGAGTGAAAAGAAAGCCTGTGATGACCAGATTTTATGTCCAAGAATACCGTACTCATCTTAAAAGACACCTAAGTCCATCTACTCAGTACTCAGGCCCAGCACACAAGGAGTTGGAAGAAGGTTTGTAGCAGAAGTGTCATAAACAGTTAGACAAGACAAAAAGCCAGTCAACATTCTTGCACTGGGGGAACTGCAATGAGCTATGCTTCTATACTTACGGTTGCTGAAATGGCTTCCTGATGCTAAATGATCACTCTGAAATCAGAAGCATGCATTAAAACATTTTAGGTGAATGGTGCTTCGTTTTAAAATTCTGTGTCTACTTTAGCTCATGATGAGCCAATCATTATAAGCACAATTTGACATATCTTGCTTTTCCCAAGGATTATCCTACTTGAGCCCACAGAAAGACATCACACTAGAGACTCTTAGTGAGATCAGTTGGGAATAAACTACTTCACTAAGTAGTTTAATAAAAGCAGCCAAGAGTTTCAAGGAAAACACTTTACTGCTCAAAAGAAAAAAAAGAAAAGGAGCTCCAAATGGACTGAAACAATTTTCAACGCACAGTGTTTGCTGTTTGTTTACCTCTACGAAGGAAATGCCACATCCACCCTCCTCTCTCAATGATATGAAATATTAGTGTAAACTGCCTTCTTTTTCAATTTCTGATATATCAATTACATTTACAATTAAAAGGAGACAAAGAGCAGGACATAAAATTGAGGCCAGGCGCTATCCACACTTAGTAATAAATTCATCAATGTATCAGTTAGAAAAGGATAAACAATAGGAAAACGTCAGGTCTCTGAATCACAATATATTTTGAACTGCTCATTTCCCCAAGTAACTCAAATACAAAGTATCTAATACATAAATTCAAATATTATACTTTAGAATAAGGATATACATTTTATATTTGTTTGGGTATTTGTGGATATCAGTACTAACAAGCTATGTAAAAAACTTTGATGTATAAACTGTCACTTCCACTGATTCTTTGCCTTAAGGGTATGAAAACATACCTGTAAACTTTGTTAATTTCTTGCTCATTGCAGTATCTAAATGGGCTCACACGTGTGTATGTAGGAGTAGGGTCTTAAGCACAGATGATCTTTAAAATTTGGTTGGGGTTCATTATCTTCCCTTTACTATCCACACAGAAATGTATTATGAAATTAACCTTGTTCTAAAATGCCTGCCTTTCCCCATATTATTTCTATAAACATAAAGGAAATAACTACATATGATGTTTTACAAAGAATATAGTCATCCTACTGGCAGTATGTAAAATTTTTGGAACAAATGAAATAGTAATTGGATATTCAATTTTTGTAAATAATTCTTAGTTGATAAAGGTTACTTTCATAATTACTGGGCGGTTACATGGAAAGTGGGCTCTAATTTTTCTCCTCTAAATTTTATTTTGCTGTTGAGAATGTATACAGTAAACATACACCAATTCCCCAGTTTCTACATGTGTAATTCAGTAACATCGAAGACATTCTTTGAGTTGTGCAGCCAGCCACTCTCACCCTTCTTACCTGAGATGTTTCTTCCCCATGACTATAAACCCTTAGACTCCTATCCAATCCTGAGTTGCTGTTGTCTTGATCTCATACAAACAGCTTTCAAAAGAGCACAATGCTCAAGGCAGACATTCTTTACTAGTTAAGCTAAATGACTGTTTGGTTTTCAAATGACTTGAGGGGTTGTTTTCTGGTTTAAAGATTATCTCAGGGCAATAGTTTGAGGGGTTCATGCACCTTCCATGGCTCTAGAAAATCTGAAAATCATTTCTAGTATAAAAATTTGTCATAATGTAGTGGCTGGGGAAAATGTCCTCAAAATATTGAGTCAAAAATTTACAAAACACGATGTACAATATGATACCACTTGTATGAGGCATGGTGTGAGCCCACTTGTTAGATGTGTATGTAATGCTCCAATTTCATACAAAGTCAAGACTCAAAAGACAGCCAAATACTAGCAGTCATTATCACTAAGTCTTGGTGTTACATTTTCTGAACTATAGCTGAACTATACATTCTAAGCTTTCTAATAGGTACTGCTCTGTGCTAAGAAATGTCAGTTATTTTTCTACATTGACTGGACCTTATTATAAGTTAAAGACTTGACTCTGTTTACAGAAGTTACAGAAAGACATTTGGTTCTTTAAGACATGATGGAGAGTTTATCAAAAATAGGTGTCAGACCTTGATGAATATTTCGAGGGCCTGTGCACACATCTGTATTTTCTCATGCAACCTGTTCTAAGGGAAGAACTAGTAGCTGACAAAGAGGACAAAGGAGTAAGATTGCCTGGTTTCAAATCCTACCTCTGCACTTACTATTTGTAAAACCCTCTAGGTTAAGTTTTTTGGAACACCTCTCTGAGCTTCATATGACTGATGTGTGAAGTGGAGACAATAATAGTACGTACCACATGGGGTTCGTGTGTTTATTAAACGCATGTGACATGCACAGAGCAGTACCTGGCACTTGGCCATCGCTGGTAGGTTAGTTACTATTAGCTTCGATATTTACCTAAAAAGAAACTACTACACCAGGTCACTCTTTAGTGTACAAGGCTGTAATTGTCAATAATCTTGACCTAACATGTGTCCAGTACAGACATATACATACAACTGGGAGTGGGTCAAGGGATAACTTCATCTATGCAGTCCAGAAACATTATGCAGGTCCAGATACAGAACATATCAAGCACCCACAAAAGCTTCTCCATGCCCCTCCTAGTCAGTTACCCCTCATCAAAGGGGGGTCTCTCTCCCTTCCTGTCACCACTGATTTACTTTGCCTGCTTGAGAACTACAGAACAATGGAATCCTAAGCCCATACTCTGTGTGCCTGATTGTTCAAGGCAACATTATGTCTCTGAGATTCATTCATGACCTTATATTCCTTTTCACAGTTGCACACATATTTTTGTTTACAGAGGACAAAAAATTACTTTTGTTGTGTACTTTGGAAAATTACTTCCCAACAGAGAAAAAATATGCATGCTGACTCAGCCATCCTTCTAAGAAAGAGTGATGGCCCACCACTGCCAACACCCACTGCGGTCACATCGGTTCCTTCTCACAGTCACTCTGTGGGACAGAGAAGCACTGCTCCACTGGGTTCCTGAGACTGCAAATCTTTACAGGAGCAGACCGCCTCATCTGTCTCCCATGGAGCAGCTGGTGGGCTTAAATCACCAACCTTGTGGTTAGTATCCAACACTTAACCCAGCAGGGCATCTTGCAGTGTTGGCATTTATAAAATATATATACCTTGCAAAATGAACCTATGTTAAAAAGTCATGAGAGTAGTTAGTTTTGACTTGGACAGAAAGCCAGCAGGAGGTCTTCCGAGCAATGGTGAGGTTCCGTTTCTTAGTGGATTTGATTTGTGAAAATTCTTTGACTTATATACTTATATGTGTACAGTTTTACTGTTAAAATCCAGGAAAACTAACTGATCTAGCCAGAGACAAATATATCATCTGAGTTTTACTGATACACATCACTCTGAGCAAAATGTTCTAAATGAGTCATACCCACAAAATCCCTTCTGAAATAACCCTGAAAAAGCACAACTCATTGTTAAGATGCTTTAGTGTCATCATCATTATCATTAACAACAACGGAAATTTACAGGTATAAAGTTATGAAAAGTAAAAGATGGACAAGGAAGAAAGTTGGGGAAGAGAAACGAGAATCAAACTAAATTTCAGTTACATGCTAATAAACTTCAATGACTTCATTCAACCTTTACAACAACTCAGCAAGTTCAGAGACTTTCAAGAAACGATCAGAGATCACAACATAAAGAACAGAATTAACATTCGAATTCAAGTTTGACTGCAGGTCAACTTCCACTATCCACTATCAGTTATAAGAAACAATGTAATTACATTTTCTATACCTCAAAATACTGAAATCTAGTCTTCAGAGCCTCAATAGTTCTCAGGCTCTCTTCATGCTGCTTTTCTTTAGCTGCCAAAAGTGATTTCAGCTTTTCTTTCTGAAATGGGAAGACATAAAAACAGAGCAAAATCACCCTGCATTTAAAACTGAGTTCAACTTTGTTTTAAACAATGTGAATTAGAATTCCTTTATGGGTTGGAGTTAACAATGGATTCTCCAACATGATTGGTTTTCATTATTAGTGAGTTTAATAATATTCACAAATACATTAACTAAACATACAATACATACAAACACTACTATGAAAAATTCAAATTTCTATTGTGTTAAGTCATAGTATTTTAAGACATTTTCTTTATATAACAAGTTTATAATTATAACATGTATTAATAGAAAATGTTTCACATGTTATATTTTTTCATGAAAAGATTCATTTAAAAATATGAGCCATTTTCCATTAAGTAATAGCCAAAACCAAACTACTGTTCTCCATCTCAGTTCAGAACTTAAAGCCTTTACTACAAGGCCGTCTCCAATATGCTTGTGTGTGCCATCAAGTTGGTTCCAACTCACAGCGACCCTATATAGGGTTTTCAAGACTGTAAATCTGTACGGGAGCAGAAAGTCTCATCTTTCTCCCAGTCTCCAATATACAGAACATAATTACAGATTTACAAAAAAAAACGGTTATCCTACCTCACTTTCCAGATCATCAGCAACCATCACTTCCTAAATTGAAAAAAAGAAGAAATGTATTTGAATTCTTCAAAGTATATTTTAAAAGGCACACATCTTTAAGGCTGGGAGCCAGGCTGTGAGGAGACAACATCTATGTACTAACAGGTCTGCTGCTGAGTTTGTGCCATTCACTCTTCTTGCCAGCCAGACTCAGAACGACTTTTGATTCTTCTGAGAACCCATCAGCCACCAAGTCGTCCTCACTCGTCTTCACATCTACCATCTCCTTTCTCTTCTCCAATCCCATGGCCTCAAATAGAGCTCAGTTCTTTGCTATCACCACACACCTAAATTGTTGATAATCAACTTCTTTGGTGTTATTAACTTTTTTATTATGAAAGATACCATACGTACATGAGTACATTAAGAGGAAGTTTCAAAAGTTCATGGAAAAATGAAATTAAAAGATAACCACTAACTTTTTTGAAACCCCTGCCTTGCAGAATCCACCATTTCAACGCTTTAAGTACTATTTAATAAAGAATAAAATGAACATCAGTATCACTATCCTTATATACTTGAAAGGAATCCATAGTCGCTATTTTTTCTATGTCCAGTGCTAAATACATACATAAATTAGATGACATTTGCTCATTTGTTGTTCACAGCTGCTGCGTCATGAGCTGTCCTATGGAGAAGCCTTGATGTAAAGGTAAGCCCGAACTCCTCGAGGACAATGCCCTGTCTTATCTAGTTTACCCACTTTTGCACCCGGTAGTTCTATGATTTGGATGTGAAGCTGTTGTTCTTAAGTTCCTTTGATTCGGTTCTGACTCACAGACATGCTGTATAGGATTTCCAAGGAGCTAATGGTGGGTTTGAATCACCAGCCTTATGGTGCAAACCAACTTTGTAGTCAAATGCTTATACCATAGGACCACCGCAGGATGTGATAAGCGACCATGAACAATCTCCTACTAATTTTGCGAATGGTTTGTCAGTTGCCATTACTGTTGAGATGAAGCCGACACATGGAATCACCATGATTGTGGATGGCTACGAGGAATGAAATGCTTTCTAGGAGTTTCCTGTACTATGCAGATTATTTACCTCATTCAGCTGTAGTTGTAAACCATTGACTTTATCCACCAATATTCTCTGCTCTTGCTGAATTTTTCTCAACCTCTCTTTCAAATCTTCATTTTCAATTTCCAGATCCTTAAAAAATAAAGACACCATGTCCAAGTCCATCCTTTAAAGAGCAATTCTTACAGGAGAACATTTAAAAGGTAGTTCTCTATCACATGTCAATATAAACATACATAAAATAGTTTCAAGTAAAAAAGGGTCAATAATATCAATGACATTCACATGACCTAAAATCTAACATCAGAAATACTAGGGGAAATTCTTGCCCTCTGTTGTTTTTGGTTTTGTGTGCCGCAGAGTTGATTCTGATTCATACTGAAACAACTGGACAGAGTACTGCACCTCAGCAGGGACTGGAATGCAGTTTCCTAACACTACATAGTAAACAAGGATGAAATTATGAAAAGCCAAACAAAACACTTTTGTTTTATCATATGGAAAGCAGCCCTTCAATTTACAGTTAATGGTGCTGCCGTCATAAAAGAAACGATTTAATTTTGCAGGCTTGCTTCAATATAATCCATCTAATAATTAATTTTCAAATACTTTGACCAACACAATGACTAAGGGTTCAGCTGCTAACTGAAAGGTCAGGTCAGTGGTTCAAAATCACCAGATACTCCTAGGAAGAAAAAACCTGGAGACTGGCTCCTTAAAGATTTAAAGACACAAAACAACCAAACCCATGACCACTGGGTTGCTTCCAACTCATAGCAATCCTAGATAGGCCTTTCAAGACTGTCACTCTTTATGAGCACAGGCGACCTCATCTTTCTCCCATGGAGAGGCTGGTGGAATTGATGGGCAGCCTTCAGGTAAGCAGTCTCACCCACAGGCTCTTCCCATGAAGATCACAGCCTAGGTAATCCTATGAAGCACTAGTTTTACTCCATTCTGTCAGGTCGCTATGAACGGGAATTGGCTGGACACAGCACAGAGCAGCAATAAACCATGACCTTTACTTCCATAATTCATAATTTCCCCAAATGAATAAAACTCTATGATTTCCATCATAAAAGAGGTTCTTGAAATTAACAAAGGCTTGTATTTGCTTCCAATATATATTCAAGCAGTACTTTCTATACTACCTTTCTAATGTTGTATACTAGTATATAATACTGACTCAAACATTTAGATCAAAAGTCAATTCTTAGAGACGGGATTGGTCATAAAAACAATCACAAACCAGAGCAACCAGGCTGCCTATCCTAATTCATCTTCCCCACTGTTTTGCTTCCACCGGCTCTTCCCATCTACCCAACAACCACTGGAATTCTCGGTAAAGGAAATACCACTTTTTTTTATTTTGTACCTGAAAATTTTGATGCTCCCTCTGACTTGACTTTGTATTTACTTCTTGCATATGTGTCAAATGCCGCTTGGTAAAACACAAGAAAATATAGGTTAGCAACAAGAAGCGCTGGTTTTCCGTTTTTCCATCATTCAATGTGGCTATACATAACACAAGGTGGCAGTATTTCCATTTAAAATCCCAAAATGGAAACCATCTTTAAGCATGTGGCTGGCATTCATGTAAATCAAGTATAATTTATGTTTAAATACAAAATAACAAAATTGAAAATTGTTTTATAACTAATGTCACTACATTTTCAAAAGGATAATTTGTACTAGATACAAAGTGCACTATAAAGGTATCTCAACCATTCCCAAAGGAAAAAAAAGGTGGTGGAGAATGACATTAATGCTGAAAGACATACAAAAAATTACTGACTTCTCTGAGCGTCGCTGAAATAAAATACCAAGGGATGTTGTAAGGAAGAAGCAGACATAATCCTCTGACCTCGGTGAACCCAAAGGTCTCTATAAGTTGGCTCTGTATTTATTAGACTTATTGCTTTGAAATTTTATCTAGCTTAGAGGTTTGTTTTTAATAAAAACATAACACAATTATTAAACAAGAGAGTAAATAACCTCCTCTCTTTCATTTTAACCATAATTGGCATTATTCTAATAAGCTATGTACTATAACTACTTTAGAAAGCTTTTTCTATCTTCCTTTTTGAGAGTTAAAAAGCAAAACAAAACTCCTAATTTTGTAAAGGAGTCCTGGTGTAGCGCTGTAGGATAAGCACTCGACAATAACGTCGGTCTGAACCTCAGGTCAGCAGTTCAAACTCACCAGCTGCTCCTCAGAAACCCATACAGGGTCAATATGAGTCAGAACTGACTTGATGGCACTTAACAGTAACGTAATTGACCAAGTAGTTTTGTCCATGTTTGATATTCCCAGATGTATGTGGGATTTTTTTTTTAATTCTCTATAAATCTCGTTGAGTTCTGTTTAAACGAATTTTTTTAAATATCATTCTGATTTGCCTGAATTTGAAATTTGAGGGACATGGTCCCACTAAAAGATATTCTGTATCTACAGTTTGGCTCAAACTATACAAGTGGTCCCTGGTATAGTGGATTAAGCATTGGGATGCTAATTACCAAGTTGGCAGTTCAAATCCACCAGCCGTTCCATGGAAGAACAATGAGCCTGCCTGCTCTCGTACCGATTTACAGACTTGGAAACCCTAAAAAGCAGTGCCGCTCTGTCCTCCAGCACAGCTACATGTCAGGAACGGGCTGAACAGCAGTGAGTCTGGTTTTTGGTTTTTTATACAAGGGGGCTTATCTTTTAAGTCACTTCCCCACAAGCTTTTTGAAGCCCTGTCATATTTCTAGCTGTATCACTTCTACTTGAAGATGTTCATGAAGTGGAATCTGACCAGTCTTCCAATTGCTCACTACTTCCATTCCAAGTCTTCTCTTCAGAATCCCCAGCCTCCACTCGCCTAACTCAGACTTCTGAAATCTGGAAGAAGCCTCACCACACTAACACAATCTCTCAGTCCCTCTGGAAGCACGCAGAGGTGCTGATCTGTGCCCCTGGCTTGGAATTCATCCCTGCCTACACAACTCGTTCTGGTGGATATGTACTCAGACGCCTTCCCATACAATGCCCTAGACAATCCGGTGCCGTTTACCTCGGCAGTCTCTTCTGCCACCGTCTGTCGGGCACATGCATCCCTGTCTCTCGGCCTTCCACTGCCCCGCAGACACGCTACACATATTCCCACCACGGGGGCTTGGCACTTGTTCTTCCCTCCATCTTGAGGCTTCTTTCACACACCCCCATAGCTCCCTCCCTCACTCCCTCAGACCTCTACTCGAAGGTCACTTCTTTAGAGAAACTTTGTCGATTGTCCCCCACTCAGCCCATTCTTCACCATTTACTCGTGTTTTGCCTTTCTTCACAGCATCTGCTATGATATAAATATTCCTTTGCTTACGGTCATGTCTGTCACTAGGCTGGGAGCTTCATGAGGGCAGGGATTCCGTCCTGTACACTACAGCATCCCTAGTACTCAGAGCAGAAGGGACTCAATGGATTCACACACACAGCTGGGTAAGTCTTATTTTCATGGCAGCACTAGGTTTCTAGGTAACAGGGATTCTATGTCCCTTAGCATAAGAACAACTCCTAAGCAGATTCTCAATATATTCACTGTGCAATGGACACAAAGTACTTGGAAGACACGAGTCTTGCTGTTCCGAGTAGAATATTAACTCCTTGTTTGTTTAGGTAATTCCTAGAGCACTGAGCAGAGCACAGTGCTTCTCTTTATCAATATTAATAATCATTACAATGATCTGTGTAGTTTCAGAAACATTTCTCTATGATTCTAAGAGATGTCACAAGGTGTAAGTTTAATTTCACTCTGCCCCCACCAAGGCTATCTGAGGAATGGGTGAAAATGTAGGAACAGCTGCTCCAGATGGAAAAGTGTCAGCAAGCATAATGCATGCATGAATGTATTACTTAACTCGGACGCATTCAAACAGAAAGCATGCTTTGCTATAGCTCTCAGGTGCAAGTGAAATAGGGAAACGACACATAACGATGACCAGAGTGCTCACAAGGTACCTGTTTACTTTCTCTCCTGGGTTTGGAAGTGCTTGGGTTTCTCTCACTAGAGAAAAGCTGAGAGCCTGGAAGGGAACAGTCGGCAGAAGAGAAGAGCTGCCTACACTAGCTTTCAGCAAGATGGTAAGAATGCTGCAACCCCACTTACAGTAATTCGAAGATAGTAGGGGAAAAGCATGAAACATCTATTCAACTGGGACAAAAAAACCAGGGTTAAACAACGATCTGATAAACATCAGTACCCTATAGCAAGGATTATTTCATTAATTGTGTATTACTTTCAAGTCAAGTCCTCAATTAAATAAAGCAGTCCCCAGATTACAAAGGAGTTCCCTTCCTAAGAATGGTTTAAGCAGAATTTGTACATAAGTCAGATCTGTTAAGTATGGTTTGTATCTAACATCAGCTAGTCATGTTTTTCTTCATATATAGTGTATCTTTCTATGTACAAAAAACATTAAATACTCTATACACACAAAACATCTTTGGCATAACAATACAGCCATAATAATAGTTACATGCAAATCACAAAGGAGCACCTGTTTGTTATTACAAACCACTGTATGTACCTCAAGTTTTTAATAGATTTTATGGGGCTGGTTTGTATCTATGAGTGGTTATATTTCATAACCCAAGAACTGTGTCTATACATATACACACGAAAGACTGAAAAGAAATAAAATATTAAGTGGTATTGAAATCGTACTGTAATCATGAAATGTTTCCTTCATTTGACACTGAACTGGAAGAATTTTCCAATAGTGGCAAGTATTTAGCTGCTTCAGGATGAGCACCAAACTGTTAAGCACCAGGTCAGCAGTTCAAACCGACCAGCTGCTCCTCAGAAACCCTGCACAAGGTCAGTCACTATGAGTCAGAACTGACTCAATGGTACTTAACCACACCAGTATACAATAGGGGGAAACTGTTGATGATCCAACATGTGATCCATCATTTAAGGATCTCAATGAGGTGCAGCATCTCACACTTGCAAGGACTGGATGCTCAAGGCCTCGTATTTCTCACAGGACAGACATTATCATTGAGATCCATGTCTCAAAGCGGAGTGGGAGTATCTGCCTGAGGTCTCTAGACCTTAACTGCTAGTTACAGTATGAACATGGCTAGCTGAAGGGAGAGAAGAGCATTCAAACGCAAAACCATTCTGTATAACCATTTGTCAGTTGTACTAAGTAAGCACTTTACTGAAATTGTATAATACAAAAAACTTTTAAAAATTAATATTAAGAGTACCTGTTGGAAAGATGGTGCTTTCTTCCAAAGCTCTCTCCCTAAAGAGGTAGAGATAAAGAGGAACAGTGAAATAGTAACCTAACTTGGGTAGCTATGTTACTCCTCACTGTACAAGTTAGAGTCAATATTAAAAGAAATAACATTTAAAGTTTCCCCTACTGCTTACTACGTTACAGTCTGAACTCCAAAAATTACACTTCAAACAACAGTGAAATGGCATTGGCAAAGTCATTGTGATCTAACGATATGCAGACAGATCCGAAAGAATACTAAGGAGGGGAGCCATATCAAAAATGAGACGTTTACAACACTCCTAAATTGGAAGGTCAGAACCAACTGCACAGCACTTAACAGCAACAAATTGCAAGGTAATTGGCACTATTACCAAAAGACTTTAAAAATGTGTATGTAAGCTGTAACTCAATGATGTAATTGCTAGAAACTGATCTGGAGGGCATAATAAAAAGTTGTTAAATATTTATAACAGTGAAAAGCTATAAACAATATGAATGCTAACTAAAACCTATAGAAAATTATTTTCACTATAAAAAATAACAACGTAACTGTTGTTATGTGCTCTCAAGTTGATTCCGACTCATCCAGCCTTAGAGGAGAGAGTGGGGCTGCCCGGCAGGTCTACCAAGGCTGAAGGCCCTACAGGAGCAGAGCTTCAGGACTTTCCTGCTCAACCACTAACCACCAGTGCCTTAATAATGCAGTCAATGTCCTTCTTGTTGTTGTTGCTGTTAAATGCCGTCGGGTCTCTTCTGACTCAGAGTGACCCTGTATAAGGTTTCCAAGAAGCACTGATGAGCTTGAACCACCAACCTTCTGGTTCAGCGCATTAACCCACAGCACCACACCAGGACTCGTGAATATCCTTATTAAGTTTCAAATCAATAAAATTTTACACATCATACAAAAATCATAAAATAGAGAAAACATTTATTTCTGAAGGAAAACCCTTTAAGATATACTATATGGAGTCCTGGTGTGGTGCTGTGGGTTAATGCACCAGACTGCAAAGTCATTTGAACTGCAAGGTCAGTGGTTCAAGCTCACCGGCTGCTCCTTGGAAACCCTATACAGGGTCACTATGAATCGGAACTCGACTTGATGGCATTTAACAACAACATATGGAAAAAGTAAGCTACAAAACAGTATGCCAGGTTTACGCATACAGAAAACACTAGGAGGATACTCCTCAAAACATTCCTCAGTAGAAGGATGGGTGATATTTTTGTGATTTTCTGAATTTTCCGCTTTCTCTTTAATGCACAGGCAGGCAACAAACATTTACTGTTGAATATTTTATATCCATGTTTAAACAATGATTCATCCTTTAAACCTTCGTCAGTGTAAGAGTTAACACCTTCATTCCTCCCCCACCACACACGTACGCACACACACACATTTGCTGCTAGCCCTTGTGCGGTGCTGTAGGATAAGCACTGGACTTCTAACCACAAGATCAGCAGCTCAAACCCACCAGCCAATCCTCGAAAACCCTATACAGGGCCACTGTGAGTTAGAACGGACTCAACAGCACTAAACAACAAGAAGTCTAGATAGTTAGTAGGGTTAGCAGGCCAGTGCTTATCAAAATCTATATAGATGCTGTTGTTGATAAGTGTTGTTGAGTAGGTTCTAGCTCAGAGTGGACCCTGTATAGGTTTTCTAAGGAACAACTGGTGTGTTTGAACTGCTGACCTTGAGGTTAGCAGTTCAGTACTTATCTTACAGAGCTACACCAAAACTCTCAGACACACAGCTAGATTAGATAGACAGACAGACAGACAGACAAACAGATGGATGGATAAATGGAGCAGTGATGGCACTCTTGGATAAGTAATGGGCTGCTTACCACAAGATTGACAGTTCAAACACACTAGCCACTCCATGAGAGAAAGATGACACTTCCTGCTCCCATAAAGATTTACAGCCTCAGAAACCCTATATAGAACTATTAAGAGTTGGAACTGACTAAACGACAAACAACAACATATATGTGTGTGTATATGTATGTATGCATATGTATGTGTGTGTGTTTAAGGAGAGTCCCAGTGTGACGTTGTAGGATAACCACTAGACTGCTAATCACAAGTTCAGCAGTTCAAACCTACTAGCTGCTCCTTGGAAATCCTACAAAGTGTGGCTATGAGTTGAAACCAACCTTGTGGTCCAGTGCACTATCTTGCAGCGCCACATCAGGACATGTATATATATAATGTAATATTATACAGAGATAGAGATAGAGATATACGGGGGTGGGGGCAGGATAAGTGCAGGACTGCTAACCCACAAGGTTGGTGGTTCAAATACACCTCGGAAACCCTTCACAGAATCGCTGAGTCAGAACCAACTCAATGGCACTTAACAACAACGACATTTGTCTATATGTGTGTGTGTGCCTGTGTGTGTGCGCGTAACCCTTGATTAAACTTTCCTTCAATTCTTAAATGACTTTATGGTGTATCAGGGCTTGCTCCATACATAAGGTTATATAGATGCCACTTACCTTGCCTCAAAACATGACTACAGTGTAAATAAGCAAATTCGTGGGAGGAGATGAAGCACCATTCAATCACTAACAATGTTTTGTTTATTACTGAAGTTCTCTTTATCTGAAAGTTGCCTTTTATTAACCTGGACTTCTCTAATTAAAGAAAGCAGCTAGTACCTTTGTTGGTATTTTCTGATGCAGTCTTCAGTAAGGTTAGAATGTCCAGATTGTCACCAATTCTTGCATAATAAGGACTATCATGGCCCAGGGCATCCAGCAAGCTCACGTCGGCACCATTTTTAATTAAGACTTCTACGGCATCTTTGCAACCATACTCGCAGCCTAGCATAAGAGCAGTTCTAAAGGGGAAAATGGGAGGATCAGACTACAGAAAGATTCAAGAGCTTACTTTAGAAAAATCCTGTCAGAGGCCCTCCCTTAAAGAACAGATACCACATTAAAATATACACACTATTGCAACACAGTTTATATTTTAGCTTTAGATTTTAGTGCCATTGCATTTATATCAACATTTGCTTTGTGTCTTAGTATGCAGAGTTACAATTTTATATGACTTCACACACAGTTTACTACTTGTTATATCAAACTCATCTCATTTATTCCAGTCCTTCAAATAATTATTACAAAAATCTTTTCACAGTTGGTCATTTCACCCCATTAGCATTCTGCTCAAAACTGAAAACAATAAACTCAAGTGATTCAAGGCCTTTCTTCCACTAAAACTCTTCTACTCCAAAACAAAAAGCAGAGTCTTGTTCCCGATTTTACAGTTGTATATCTTCTACATGGAGACCTTAACATCTTCAGATTTAACTTAAAATGTATTTACCCCGTGTGAACGTGGACAGTCATTGTGCAGTACAGTGAATGACTTCACAAAGACCTTCTAGCCACAGACTTTGCGACTTTTATACAAAAACTGGGTGGGACTATACAAATCAGGTGCTTGTGGCCCACCAAGTAGGATTTACAATCCTTTTGTAAGAAGAACCATTTACTTCTAATGCAAATAAGGTGTATAAAACCTTTGTGGGGGTGGGACCATGGAAATAAGGTAAATGGAACCCTAACAAAAAGATCGGTCAGTTTCATCATCCATCTGATAGGCTTAAAATAGGTCCTGGTATGGTGTGTAGGATAAGCACTGGACTGCTAACCACAAGGTCAGCAGTTCAAGCTCATTAACAGCTCCTTGAAAACGCTATACCTGGTTACTGTTAAGTCTGAACCGACTCAACAGCACTTAGTAACAACAGCAAGACTTAAAATGAGCCCGCCCATCCAGGTACAGAGGACCCTGAGACCATCAAGGGAGAAGAGCACAGCAGAACATGGGACCCTATCCAGAGAAGCAGCGACACCAGAGATGGAGGCAGAG